TATGTAGTGTTATTTCAGATAAAAATTCTTTAAGATTTAACTCTGAAATGAATTGAAATCAGCAGAAAAAATATTATATCTGGTATCATAGATACTATAATAAATTATATTTCGGTAACTGTGGGAATTCAAAGAAAAATTTTCAGTGTGCATAAGAACACAAATATGTGACCATGTTCTTAAGTTTCATAAGACATTTGAATGAATAATTACAAACTCTTTGATGCTAATACGACGAGATATGTTTTTGACAATGTTATTTAATACAAAGTATCTTTTAAATATATTTGTAAAAAAAGGTGTGTTTAAACACTCTTTGAGCTAATGAAAAATTAATAGCAAAACTATTTTTGTCTTTAAAAAATGGTGAGGAATGTTTTGCATATTGGAAAATGGAAATATCCACTTAAAAAGTATAAAGTTAAAAATTATTGGCTAAATGTAATCTTGATGAGATAAATAATTGTTACTATGAAATTGATCCAAATATTGTTATATACAATTTTTATTCTTAACATATAATTGTGACATGTTTGATGTCATCAGCTTGCTTGAATATTGTTATGAAAATCTCCTTGTCAACTGGGATTCACATTTGAGAACTTTGAATTACGAGTCTTTATTTAATTATCTATCTAGAGAATCTAGAATGCCTACTACGATGATTGTTACATTATTCTAGAAATGTTGCTATATAACTTTAGTTTCGAACGTCAACCTTGCAAACCAACATTCATGAGAATGACAATTATTGTGGTGGATAGTGTGGGAAGAAGTGGCGGGCTTGCAATTTAATGGAGAAATCGGTGGTGTGTGAATTTGATCTCATACTCCAGAAATCATGTGGATGTGGCAGGCTTATTCATGATGGGATCAAATGGCGTCTCACGGGTTTCTATGGCGATCCTAGAAGAGAACAGAGGGAGGAAGCATGGAATCTTATCAAATCGCTTAAGGCCAAGGCAGATTTACCTTAGTTAGTGATTAAAGATTTCAATGATATCTGTGCTGCACATGAAAAGAAGTGGGGCAATCTAAAACTCCTGATTTTTACTCGGATATCTTTGTTTGTGCTGGGCCACGGGATGGGAGAAGGCTGAGTATGGACCTCTTTTCAGGCTTAGGTCACTCAAGGTGTCCAGAGTGTCAGACAAAAGTGCAACTCTAGAGGGGGGTGAATAGAGTTGTTCGCTAGAATGTGCGTAAATCACGTGTGCGATAATTAAAAAAATCACAGGAAAAATATAAAGAGCAAGGGAAAAGAGTACACCGTGTTAGAATAAGGGCCCAACGCTAGGGGGGGGGGTGAATAGCGTTTAAAACAAAACCGCAGGAAATTAAAAACGAGAGCGTTAAAGTAAAGAGTGTAAGGAAGGAGCACACCGAATTTTATCCTGGTTCACCACAACGTGTGGCTAATCCAGCCTCCCGAGAGACTCTCTCGAGCTACACTAACTTTGTTAAGCTTGAGGGTTCTTAACAAACCGATACAACTTGAGAACCCGAGTCACACGAGCCTCAACACCTTTGCTCAAAGATACCGCACTCCAAGACTTCTCACGAAGGAACCAAGAACTTCCTTCGATTTTACAACAAGGGAACAACCTCCCTTAAAGTGTATGAAAACACTTAAACTACTCTGGAATAAAACTCTCACAAAGAGTAGATATGAGTGAACTAGTAAATGCTCAAGAACACGACAATTTCTTCAAGAATTGGCTCTCAAATAGCTAAGAAAAATAGGAATGCTTATGCAATCAAAGAGTATTGAAATGTTGAAGAATTTTGTGTATAATGAGAGGATTTGGGTGCCATTTTATAGCCCAAAATGGGATAAAACCGTTGCTAGAGTTTCAAACAGGATGAAGACAAATTTTTCAGAGTTGCAGGGTGATAATCGATTGTCTAGTCTTGATAATCAATTATTAAAAGATTCCCTGTCCAAAAGTTTAAAAATCTGGTGGTCCCAAAGTGGTGAGATACAAAGTCTAGAGGGGGTGAATAGACTTTGTTACAAATTTAAAATCTTTTTCGTTTCTTTTGAAAACGTGAAAATAAGTGTTAATCTAGAGTTCTTGTGAACTTTAGATTGTCTGCGGAATTTGGTGGGTAGAGTGAGCAGTAATCAATATGGATGGGTTAGTTTTCACAGTTAATATAATTGCAAGTAAGAGTGAAGATAAAAGAGAGAGACACGCAAACCTTAACGAGGTTCGAAGGTGGGGTAATCCTTCTACGTCCTCAAAATACACTATGTAGTTGGTTGTTGAATAATGAACCAACAATTACACTTGTGTGAATTTCTGCACGGTATATCTTCGCAAGACCAATGTTGCTACTGCACTCGTGCTGGCTTTGTTGTTCCTTCGAAGGTCAAGCTTCTTCAACAACTGCAAGATCCGAACAATAGGACTTGCAAGACCAACTTGTGAGAAAGTTGATCTAACCCCCTTTTAATCAAGAAGTTTGATCAAAAGTTGTATCCTTCAACGTGGTGTGGTACTTGAGGCAAGGAAACCTTCAAGTGTTTACACTATAGCTCTTGGGAAGGAGGAGAAGTTTGCTTCTGGATAAGGAGTTTAGAAATCTCTCTTTATCAAGCTTTTTGGGCTAACTNAGGAATTCTGGTCAGGCTCTTCAATTTAGAGGGTCAGACTTTGTCTTCGAGTCATTTGTTCTTGAATCAGCATAAATATCTTCAATCTAGCCGTTGAAAATCAAGAGATTGATTTTTCCTTACCAACAGGTAGAATTTCTTCATTCAAGACTTAGATAATTTTTCTAAGTCTTTTCTCACTTGTCCGCTTTCTGAGAATTCCGGTCTTCAATGAGTCTTCCGATTCTTAGCTGACAAATCCGGAGGAGTCATTTTTAGTCTTCCGGGTGAGAAAGAAATTCGCGCTAGTCTTCCGACTTAGCCTTCAGCGGTTTGTAGCGAGACATCCGGTTCTCATGTAGTCTTCCGGATAGGAGGATTTTCATCTGTTTGAGAAATCCTTACTTGTCTCTGACATTTCCGATCAAGATATCCAATTTCCATATCACCGAAATTGATTAAGTCTTCAGGCATCAAAACGCTTAAAGAAATATCACAACTTTATTGGAAATCTCAAGAGCTCGGTTTTGACAATATTTCTAAAAAGAAAAATTACATTGAATAATGGGGGAGACCTAAAGTCCCTATTACATTCTAAATACATCATCATCAAAATCTATAATATTTTTCCCAACAATTTCCCCCTTTTTGATGATGACAAACAAGTGTTTAAGAGTTCCAGTCGCTGTACTGAGAACTAATTTTATAACTTTCTTTTAGTTTCTCATAATATACAGCTTGTTAACAAAAAATCTTAAGCAAATACAATTCGCATTACAATAATTCCTAAACCAAGTCTTGTCTTGAGACTTTGTGATATCTTCCGCCATTGACCATTTTCAGCTCCAGCAGATTCTGCTTGACGAAAAGGTTGGCATTGCGTTTGATAGATCTTTATTATCCAAAGTGGATAACCAAGATCTAGGAAGCAACACATCTCTCCAAAAGTAAAAACAAGAACAAGAACGAAAAACGAAAAGAAGCGGAGAGAAAGGAGGCGGTGGTGAAAGAAAAGAAAAAAGACAGAAAGAAAAGGTTTTGGAAAAAGATTTTAAAGATGAAGGAAAAAACAAAAAAAATAAGAAAAGAGATTTTGAAAAATGCTTGGGAAAAGGGAGCAGAGGCAGCACCAAAAAAAAATTTTAAAAAAAACTTGTAAGAAAATTGGGGCGACTGCTCAAAAAAAAAATTTCAAAGATGAAGGGAGAGAAAAAAAAAAATTTTAAAAATAATATTTGAGAAAGAGAACAGCACAGAAAAGATTTGAAGAAAATGCTTGGGAGAAGGGTGCAGAGACTGTTCAAAAATAAAAAGTTTAGAAAAAGTAAAGAAAGGAAAGGGAAGGAGAAAGAGATCAAGGTAAAAATAAAAAGAAAAATAGAGAGAGTGTTGTTCTAGAGAAAGTGTATGATCTAATCCCGAAAAATACGAGAATAGCATCATATACTTTCTCTACTGCCGAGAATTGCATCATATACTTTGAATTGCTTTCCTTCTCACTAGGTTTTTCTCCATTGCCATCTATGAGGGTGAGGAAGAGAAGTTTCTCCATTGAGAGTATTTTATATGATGTTTTTCTTAGACAGTGAACTTGAAGACTTTCATATTTGAGAGAGTTGTTTGTGATGGAAATGGATTGGAATGTCTTGATTTAAATAGGGGAGGAGGAGGTTCACGGGTTCCATTAAGTGGGTAGTTGGAACGGTGAGAGTAAAAGAGTTTCAACTTCCAAGAAGTTGAATTCTGAAAAGTTGAAGGAATCTTTTACTGACTTCCAAAGAGTTGAAACTGTTCCAATTAGGAACTTAGTTTCGTTTGGTTTGAGAAACGTAACTATTTTAGTTTGGCTAAGCCCAAAAGAGTGGCCCAAAAAGAAAGCTATGTACTAAAGGGAAATTATTCCTATTGGGTTCTCAAGGCCCAAAATAAAACTATCATTTTTCATTCCCTATAGTTCTAGTTTCTAAATAGGACGAGGTAGTACCAAAATAATTATGAATTTTAATTTTAAAAGAAAAGTGGTACTATTTTTCCAAAGTCCTGTACATTATAAAAATCCTAAGGACCAGTACTTTTAGAGCTAGTTGGAAATGAATTAAGGTCACTAAAGCTTAGTTTAAGAAGACAAATTTTGTAAAGTACCTGAATCGGAGATTTCCAATTTTAGTACCAAAACTGAGATATCCGTCTTCCTTGCTTAGAGCTTATCAATAATTCATTGCCAAAAACAATTGTTAGCCAACAACTAGTTAAGTTCCCCCTGAATGTATGCGCTTCAGAAAAAAAAAATTTCTCAAAATTATACTTGAGATAAGCATAATCAAGCATAATAAGCACAATTAAGAAAATTGTTGAAGCAATGTTTAAACCAATCAAGCAGTGTTTAAACAAGAAGGTGTTTTCATCAAAACAAATTAGTGTATTCACATACTTTCCCCCTGGTTTGATGAAAAGAACCTTCAATTTCTCTTGCGTTTTGAAGATCCGGCAACCTCACTGATGCCCTGCATGTTTCCACAGAGTTCTTTGATGCGCCTTAAATTTTCACGCCTTTCCTCTCATTGAGCATCATTTGAGAAGTGGTCAACAACTGTACCTATAAATTCTGTTCCATCCAGTCCTGAGCTGGATAGATGCTAGGCTGAGTTTTCCGGATTTCTTTGCTGTGCTTCAAGGATTAGATTTGTCATGTTCAGATGAGTAGGGATATAAGATGCTTCTCCTTCTTTGACTGCAATAGGGAGCTGTGGTATTAGAGATGGGCTGTGCTGTTGGAGAATCACTTCCATCTTGCAGTTCCCAGAATTTGCGCCAATAAGTCTGAACAGCTTGTATGCTTCCTTCTGATTGTCAATTATCACCTTCAAGTAGTCTTTGATTACTACCTGATTTGCTGAAGCTACTGCTAGGGCTGATCTGATGTCCATTTGAAGAAGGGACATTTGTTTTTGAAGACCAACTAAGACACTCGCTATTTGCTCTTTGACTTTGTTGAATTCTTTGAATTGAAGTTGACTATCAGAGGCATATACTTCCATAGTGTTGCTCACAGTGTCACTCAATAGAGAGATGATCTCTAGAGTCTTGTCTACTGATTTACCTATTTCTTTGAGATCTGCGCTGTGTTTTTCTTCTAATTTCTCTAGCAGTTGAGTGTACTTGGCTTCCATTTGCTCTACCTCTTGCCTAAAGGAGGCATGTTGAGATGCTAGGGCTGACTCAATCTGCCCTTGGACCTTCTTTGTCCAGATTTCCGGTATCTCATCCGGAAGGGTAGGAGTGGAAGAGATATGGAAATGAAAATTTGTTACCTGATGAGGAGATGATGTTCTTTGGAAGAGTTGCAAAGGAAGAGATTCAGCATCTTCTTGTACATCTTCTTCATCAGTGACCTTCAATGTTCTTTCAGATTCACCTTCTGCTTCATCAAGCGCAAAATTTGATATACCCCTAGAGAGGGAGTCTCTTTCTTCTTCTGCATTCTGTTCTTCAAGAATGGCTACTGGAGTTTGACAGACCTCCACTTCTGCCATTTGAGTTTCCTTTTCAGCTTCTCCAGAGTTCCTTTGCACTTCAACAGCTTGCTCTATTGTTTCTGGAAGAGCTGACTATTCTGGAATTTCTGCTATCTTCTCCGGGATCTCAGTTTCAATATGATTGGAGATCTCACCAGGAGTTGTGAGAATCTCTAAAACTTGAGATTGGATTAGTTGCTGAATTTCTTCTTCTGCTGCTGTTTCCTGGTTCTGTCCTTGTGGGGGAGAGGTTGCCTTCTCTTGTACAACTTCAGTCAGAACCATTTCAGAAGCATGTGAAGTTTCCTGAAATGCAGGTGAGGTTTCCGTTTCGAAGGCAGGTGAGGTTTCCGGAAATGTTTGGAAATCCTCAGCTGTTGCTTCCAAAGTAGCATGTGCTTCAGAAGTGAGAGCCACTTGATCTTCTGTAGCTTTTGAGAGGACTGGCTTGAAGACTGCAGTGTCTTCATCATCTACTTCACAGTCTGAAACTGGTGTGTTTACCATATATTACATATGCAGGTCTTCAGGGTTCCTTTGCCATACCCAGTAGTCATCCAACATGTCTTCACAGCCGTGGTTCACTGGTAGTCCTAGGCATTTCTTGATGATCTTCTCACTTTCCAGTTGTTGATCCCAATCCAACAGTTGTTCTTCTGAATTTCCAACTTTCAAAGCTCTCCAATTATAGTAGAGCTGCCAGAATTTGTTTTCAGCATCATCTGTTTGAGGCTGAGATGAGGCTGGAAGGCTTTGGGCTTGAGGAGTTTCTTCTTCAAGTTGTTGAGGGCTCCGGTTTTGGGCAGAGGTTTCCTCATCAGGTTCCTTCTCCTTCAACTCATCCGGATTGACATTTCCAGATGTTGATGGAGAGTTGAACTTCCTCTTCTTCTTCTTTTGAAGTTCTCCATGGTCAGAGACTTCTTCTTCTTCTTCCAAATAGATCAAGGCAAGGTTCTGTGGTGCTTCAATGGAGGGAGACACCACTTTCTTCCTTTTGGCAGTCTTCGTCATATGGATGAGTGGGATGTTATCTGAAGAACTTTCTTCTGCAGTGGCACTAGCACCAGCTCTTTTTTCCCCTTTTGAAGACAGATAGTATAACCAATATCTTTGTAACGCCCCAAAATATACCCTAAAATTTCTTGAATTAAATATTCAATTAAACAAAATTTGTTTTGATTAAAATAAATTATTGTTGGGCTTTGGGCCGAAATAAAATGTGTTTTGATATCTAATATCACAAGCAGGATAAATCTCATAGAGATAAACCCAATATGTTGACTATTTGAGTGGTCTTGATTGGGAACCTGAGTACAGACCCAAATCAAGAATATATGAAGAAATTATTTATGATGTGAACTTTGAAATGATTTATTGAAATAAATCATTAGAACAAATGATATGAATTAAATGTGCGAAACCTTTTTGAATAAAGATCAACTAAATCAATTTTACTCTGTCAAAGTCAAACATCAAAAAAATATGATGTCAGAAAAAGTATAACGAATAAATGTAAAAATTATATCGTTGGATAGAGTTTAATTTCACGATCGCAATGGTGCGAACGGATTTCAATTCGGAGAAAGTTGGACCAAAAAGTGTACCCCGACTGGAACCAAAATTGGTCCCAATCAGAGTACTGCTCTGTCGGCGCCTCCTTGCGCACTAGTA